TTTATACTTTTGAAGATAAATTTTCGAGTAAAAGATAGATTGTTAACTTGCCGCCAAAATCACATGTATTGTTATTTTTTCATTTTATAGCTTCATCATGAGTTGCGGCTGGTTTATAATTGACTAAATGGCTCTAATCCTGATTGCTCTGATTGAGAATTTTAGAGGCCACTTTTAGCTCAAAAATGAAGACCGCTAGATGGCGCTGATCCAAATAATTACTGCTATTTACTGTAGAGTCAAATTATTAACTATAAACCAGCCGCAACTAATTTTATAGATAGACAGTTAAAAGATTGCATTTTTTGTGCTGTTTGCGGCAAGTGTACAAGTCACCTTTTACCCGAATATTGATCTCTAAAACCATAAATATTCACTTATCTTATATGGCTTACAAAATCGACCATATGTACAACATAAGCTGACACGGTGAAAATATGTTACAATAGGTACCAGAATACCATCTCAGAGGTCGATCGAGCCAAATCTGACCAGATCGAGCTACAGCTACTGTACGAACAGTTTGATATAGTCTCACGCTGAACTGTCATTAAAACTAAATAATGTTTATTAGACTACATTGAAAAAGAAAAAATTATATTTTAAGTACCAGAGTAATAACGAAAAGAGTGGCTTGTGTTATTAGTAAAATGTCTGGGATAAATTTAGTTTTCACCCGAAACGTATCAACGAGCTGTGTACGTCATGGAAAACGTAATTTTCGTAAGTTTGACCTAATCAACAAACGAGGTAGCTACGAGTTTAAGAAGGCGCAGGTGAAAAACCCAGACCCGAAGTACCCTATTGATGGTAAGTTCTCCATTGTCATTATATTTTGTCACATATGATTTGCATTGATTGTGGAAAAATACTAGTTATATCAGTTTGTTCCAAAAGTATTCTCACAATCTTACTCAAAAGAATATTAAATTTTACCGTTATTTTGCCACCATATTAAACTTGATTTTCTTTATCACATAAATTTAAGAGCATTTTTATCATAACTCTCGTTCTACTATTTTCAGATCGTGGGACAAGAAAAATAGGGTATTTTAAAGGTGACAAATTTATAGCCATCCCAGAAATGATTCCAGAACTGATTGTACCCAACTTGGAGGGTTTCAAGCTCAAGCCGTATGTTTCTTACAAATCAGAAGATGTTTACCAAGAGCCATTCACAGCAAAAGACTTGTTTATGGCTATCTATGCATCAAAAATCAAAGATGATTTTGACAAAGGCAAATTAACACCAGAAGGTGAACCTCTTGAGCCTAATGAAGCAGAAAAGCTAACACCAAAGGAGGCCAGGGACTTGGCTTCTAAACCTGGTTCTGATATGTTTGTTGCTCCACCAGCACCCTTGGGTACAATTTATAATCATGATATTAAACGATAAAATATTTTTTGCTGCATAAAGAATTTAACAAGACTTAAGCAAGCATTGTTTTTCATTTTGATGTTGATAAAAAAAATGTATTCTGAAATCATTAGCATAAGTGTGTTTTATAAAAAAAATTGTATACAAAGAATAAAACAAGTCAAATGTTATAAAATAAGTTTTATAAATATTTGAGAGTTTCTGTGTTTCAATCCTTTGTAAAATACTGTTTTAGGTTCTTAGTTTTCTAGTAATGGTAGCATTTCACGATATCTAATGAAATATTTGTATAAGATGCCATGAAATAACTTTCAGCAAATTTACTTGAAAATTAAGAAAATCCCTCGTTCTACATTACATGTCTAATACTTGACATAATTTCATTTGTCGCTACTAAAAGTTGAAAATACTCATAGGAACGCAGAAGGACTGTGAGGAAGGCAATTAATAAATTAAAATGTTTCATTTTTTCTGTAAAAAAAGATGTCAGTATATTTTAAAGAAAAATTTACTTCAATCGATCTTTGTTTCAATACATTAACAAAATAAAATAATATTAATAATAATAACAATAATAATAGTAAAAGTAATAAATCATAGATACATTGTACAAGACGCAACATTACATGTTTGAAAATACGTAATATTTATGTTCTTTATTTTATGACTAAGTTAAAAACTAAAAAAATTTTTCTTACATTGATCTTAAAATCCATTTCATGAATAATAAGTAAATCGGCTTTACCTGAAACTTCGGCAAAACACCATTATCAGAGCACACCTCTACTGCCATAAAAATCTACATTTGTTTATTAATCATAATCTGAGATAAACGTTACCCGTCTCGTTTTAAGACTTCTGTAAAAATTTGTATGTTTTTCTAGTAATAAAATGTAAAATTGAAGAGACGAAACAATTAGAAGAAATTGTTCATATTTTTTTCTTCTAAAATTTAGAGAAAAGAGCGAGTACGTAAAAAATTATCACTGATTAAGCACACGCGATGTAAAATTGGAAACTCATAGAGGAGTTAAGTCTTATAAAGTTTTCCAAACAAGCTCTTCAAAGTCTTTTGTTAAAATTTTTTTTAGTCTTTGAATGAGTGAACTGATTTCAACTACCTATATGTTGCATCAGGACCGAGCGATACATATCAAGTGTTGCTTTGTTTCGTCAGGTCAAGGGGTTTGCAAGCTCCTCGACTTGACAGTTCTGTTCTGGTTAGAAAAAAGTGTTTAAAATTTATTTAAAATTAAAACCGGTTTTCAAAATAAATTATACAGTTAATATACAGTTATAACAAAAATTAACGGAAGTCTAACTGCCATTGATTGACAAAAATTTATTAAAACAATATAATCAGTCAAAAAATTTTTCAGTCGTGGTAAAGAAAGTGTATTTGAAAAATTTCATTTTTGGCACAGAGTTGTTACTCTACTTTCAAAGATTTTTTTACTGATACATTATAGGAAGATAATATTGAGTCACTACCTACTTTGAATATGAAATGTTTTTGATCTTAACAATGAGCACAGCGTAATAACTCAATGACAAAACAGTGACTATACGTATACTTGGTTTTTTATATCTAAAGATGTTGGAAAGTTTCATAATTTGGTTACGGGCATCGTTACTTAAGTTAGAGGCCTATCAAATCATGATTTTGTAAAAGTAGACCAAATATTAAATATCAAAGCTCAATATACTATTTTTGATTCGCTACGTTGAAATATTTAAATTTTTTACTTGGATCATGTAAATAAAGTATAAAACGTATTTTAGTCTGTAGAGTATGAGCTTCATATCTAATTAATTTTAAAACATAATATACTTAATATACAAAATCGAATGAAGGGATAGCAACTTTAGTTGAAATCACTAAAACTAAGACATAATGCATGTTTATAAATATTTAAAAGTAAATTTAAAGATGTAAAGAAACTGTATGCAAACATGATGTAGATCAAGTTCATCAGTTGTAATGCTAATATCACAAAAAAGTTAGCGACGCCCTTATTTCTTAAGATAGTTAAGATATTTGAATATGTTTATGTATTTACGTTATATATGTATATGTATACGAACACACTATACTATCAGACTAGCAGTAATGCAAATATGTATAACTAGTTTAAGTTTGCTTGCATTATGTTTCTTTTATAGGCATATTATATTTTCATCCTATTTTAAACAAGTGTCATTAAAGATTATTAGTGTCTTGAAATTTCACTTGAAACAGATTGTCCCTAGAAAAATTTTTTTTGTAAACCGAGCTTTTTAAAACAAAGTGATGCTTAAAAATCTCTTCTTCATTAGATGAATCTGAGTCTTAATAAAATCGAAACACGTTATTTCTCCAAGTAAACCTTTTCAAGGTAAAACTAGTTAAATTCTTTTTGAATTTGTATAAAAAGAAAAAGTTCTTTTACAGCAGTTCTAAGCCTGTTTAATTTTGTTCTCTGACAACAGCTTTCTCGTAAAATAGTAGGTATGGATTAGCGTTTAGAACATCTTCTAAAGAAGCTTTTTGCACAATCGTGTCTGACGTGTACAACCACTGCCCTGGACGATTCCCTCTTCTATAACAAATAAAATGACCAGCATCTGCATGACCCTGGTGTTCAATCACGGCATAAAGATAATATTTGTGTCTGTTTCGATACATCGATTGTCCATTCACTGGTAGCACTGTCTGTAATTTACCCTAGAGTAAAATAGCAATAAATTAATACGATGAGCGGGAGTTGAAAAAATGATCAATGATAACTATGAATGTACCTGTGTACCCCTCCTTTTAGTTTCTGTATAAGTAAATGGATCTAATATCAAACACTCGTTGAATATTACGGAATCATCGCGTTTTATTAACTTTCCAGAAGAGATCCAGCCTGTTCTCTGAATATGAAGACACAGACACTTTGGCAGCTTGCCAAACGTTAATGTTTTATAAGCAGCGCAACGATTGTTACAGCCATCGCATTGCACATCGTTAATTTTTTCTCTGGACACCAATCGAGATAATAATTCAACAAGTGTCACGCTTTTGAGTATAACTCCATCACTGGCTGGAGGTAGTGGTAATGAAACACTTTCCAATTTGTCGAATCGAACCGGACCCTATTATAAAAAGTACAGTAAAAGAAAAAAAAATTGCGGTACATACACTACAGGAAAAGAAAATTGTCACAATAAATTAAAAGTAAGTAAAATTTTTTTACCTTCCATTCACATTCAGTGCATATCAATTGACTTGTCAACAAACCCGAAAATGGATGGACTTTGTTGGGTAATGTTGGTGCACAGGATTGGAAAGGAATGGTACAAAGTGAATTCCATGGTCTCAGAGAGTCACCTTCTGCACTAGGTTCACCATTTTCACCAACCACAGATACGACGTCTGAAGATCTTGCAAGAATAATTCCAGGTTTCACGGATGCCATTGATGCAGTTAATACGCTCATTGTAGACTGAGTATACGACACAGCATGATTGCCAACATTTTTTTGGATTTCACTTGGAATATTGCATTCATTGGCAATGTCATTACATGATACACTTCTTATGTTGACTGGCTCTCCAGACCCTTTGATATCCGTAACGACAAGTGGAGCTTTTGGTAGAGCATCAGACAAACACCCCTTCTATAATTTACAAAGTTGTTCATTGACTTTTGTTTCTGTTTGAAACTTAAGTGGTGGTAAAAAGTACATATTTTAAACCTACTCTGCACGAGGTTTGAAGTTCAGCCTGAAGAGCACTTAAAAAAACGTGAAACAATTCGTGTGCATCTTGATGTCCAGGTGCAAAGTTCCAAAGTGGACCCAGAGAAGTTATAATTTCGACAGGTCTTACATCGTCAAATACATCATCAGTAAATCCATTAATTTCTGTAAACATTGAATTGCAAGAAAAAAAAATTTTAGTGAAAGTACAGCAAAATAATTAAATAAAACTTGTAGATTACTTACTGTCTATCACATGCATCAAGTTGGTAGTAAATGATTCCGGTTTTCCACTTTCTTTTCTCTTGTTAAGCCACTCTATAAACACCGGACAAGCAGCCAAAGCTTGGAGCAACGAGTTCAAGAAACACGTGTATCCTAAATTCTTGATACCGACTACTTGACCTATAAATAAAAAAACGCAACATTGTACTGCTTAAAATAATAAAAGTAAAAAAAAATGATGCTCTGTATATGAAAATATATGTTACACCAAAAAGGGTGCAAGACAGCTTGTAATTAAATTAAATGAATACAGCTTTAATCCATATAGACACATGTCAGTAACGAAATACCTTGACCTACAAACCTTTTCGTCTTGGCCGAGGTGAAGGACCCCACAACACAAAAGCTCCAACAGCCAGAGCTAAGCCCAGTGCTGTGAAAACGCTGAGTTTGTCCATTGAATCCATGGCACACACAAACAGAACCTTCTTTATACTTCTAAACTTTTATGCTTATCCTCTCAAGACAAGAGATTTAAACTAATGAATTACGATGCTCCTGGATAAGTTAAACTTTTATCATTGCTAATGTAAGATTCTGTAAAAACTTTGAAATAACGATTATTCAGCGACTTGACCGGAATGGTTGCAAAATATTTGCAATAAAGTGAAAATGCACACACGCATGTATTTACAACGACATCGTTCGTAAGCTTGTAGTACTGTCCATCAGAAAATCAATATTTTAGCGTTTAAATTTGCGAACACAAGGATATGGATGTGTCATGAATCAGTAATTTTGTATGAAAATTATCGTAATGATTCACTAAAATTTTCTTTCAAATGTTTTCACATTAATTGGATGGAAATTCTTACATCATATTATACTCTCTTCTTTGTGTACCTCTGTACTTATATAGTTATGTTATATCTACGGCTCTGTTTTGATACACATGCACACGGAACCGGGACAACCGAGTAATTATAAGTACCGAAAATGAAAGGCGACGACGTAACTTTGCAAAAGTATGCCAACCATAGACATATAAGAAAAAAATAGACTGCTCGTTCTTATGTATGTACGGCGTTGAAGCAAAAGTAGAAAGAGACACAACATCTAACGTGGATATCTATCTCTCTCGCACATTTCCACCTTCGGCAACGCACTTGCATTTTCAAAATTTTCGCGCTTTAATTATTGTGTCTGAAATGTGCTAAAAAATGTATCAAAGATCGTAATTATTGCGGATTAATTATCTTGTACGGTATTGGTTCTTTCTTTTGTCGCGTTATTTTGTTTGTTCATGTAATAATAACAACAATATTTTCGATAGAAGAAAAATAAGATTTTTTAAACGTATGAATGCATATATATGGAGTAGTATGTGCGATGTGCAACAAAAAAAAGGGATTAATATAAGTATTCGCCGTTTCAGCCGTTTTAGGGCCGACTTTTTGCAAAGAAATGAGAAAATCAATACCGCTAGATGACGCTGATCCACCAAAATCACACATAGTCTTTTTTTTTTTTTTTTTTTTTTCAATTGTTACTGTAAACGAAAATTTCTGTCTAGACATTCAAAGATGATGGAAGGCCAAGATCACTTATCTCTCTGGCATAGATATTTTTTTCCTTATTTCTATCAAATTAGTGTGGAAGAGCTAAATTGGCCAGCACTAGATAGGATCATAAAGTGCTTGAAATCGCGCGTAAAAAATCTATGCACTGCATGATAGCTCCGATGTATACAATTTACAAACATATGATCCTTAACTATATTTTTTTTGTATCTCGCAGGTAGACTATTTTTACTCGTGCTTGTTTTCAAATGATAAATTAAAAAAATATACTATTTGTTTTCAAAAAAAGGTTTTTTTTGCTAGATAATTTTTTACAAGTGTAAAATACAATGATTTCTGTTGCGAATGAAAGCGCTGAAAGTTTAATCTCTCTGCTGCATTTACATGTGCAATTCTACAAAAAAGTATGGAATGTGTAGAATTGTTAGGAAAAAAATTAAAAAAAAAAAACTTGTAAAAATATAATTAAACTCAAGAACGGGTGCGAAATAAGTAAAGCTCAAAGAGCTTTTAAATGAAACTTGTTATCCACCCCTTTCCCCTCAAAATCGAGTAAAGATATCAGATATATTATTCGAATGATTGGGATTTTTGCTATTCGTCTTATTCAGTTTACATGCAAAGCAAGTAAATACACGATCGATTCCGAAATCGCGCCACAATGAAGCTTCGTTCTTCAATTAGATATTTTTAAGATGATGATTTTCCGTGGAACTCCCCGCAACGTGCGCGTACGGGTGACCAAAGGGAGGACTAGAAGGAGAGAAGAATATCCAGCTATATACACCGCGGGGTCGAATTTTTTATCCCCCACCCCACCACCAGCGTTGCTCTCTTTGCCAGCCCATCTGCGTATAATATGCAGGTTTTTCTCTTTCTCTCTCTCTCAATCTGACACCGACACGATCGTGCTTACATGTAAGTATATGTGTATTAGATGGACCCCCGTATATATACTGTATTTTACACAAGTACTTCGATAATGTAAATTATATATATATATA